TACTTTATACCAGCAGAGGTGATACTATCAAGTAATATGTGGCAGGCGCCAAGCCAACCATCAAGGAAAAAGAATAGAGGTAAACACAGGTAAAGAGGTAAGCAAATTCAATTGACCTTAAGTTATTCCAAATGGTGTAAAATAATGTTTAAAAAAATAACTTTCTCATAGTAGGTCGACAACAATACATTAGTGTGAGTCAAGCATGTCCTGTAACATATTTTGAGTTAAGTGTCAGAAAATATTGTATTTAATACATTTGTAAAATGAATTATTAAACAAGAGTAGTCATAATTTTGTTTTTACTTATTGGTAAATACCATAATATTATTTATAAATAGATGAAGAGATTCAGAAAATGATAATTGTAAAGTTCTAGAATTACTGTTAATTGGATTATAAAGTAAATTCAAAAAAAATCAATACCTTAAAAGTACATTTAAATAACTTGGTGTTAACATATAAAATTATAGCATTTTCGTACCTAAAGTGAAACACAAATATTTCACATGAATGATAAGCCAATTAATAAATTACAATCCACTACAATCATATAGGAAGTTTGCTAATTTAATAGACAAATTAATATCTGTTTGTCCAGCTATCTTTATGGGTAACTATATACAAAACAAATAAAAATGTATCAAAAGGCAATAATTTTGAATCTAAATTAATACTGAAAAATCATATTCAGATCTAGAGTAATCCAATTACAGGGGGTGCTTATAAAATGAAAATCCTTTCGAGATATAATGAATGTGATATTGTTTTTTGGTCAAAAAACTACATGGTCTTAATTAAGACATAACATATTGAACATATTTTAGTTTTTAGTTTTCGGGATCAAAAGAGGAAAAAAATTATTTGCTTAAGTGATGAAAGAGTCTGTTTTTCACAGCAAGTTCAAGTTTTTGGGTTGATAATCAACCCAAAAAACTTATCAGTCAATCTTGTTAAGGGAAACATTGCTTTTAAATTTTCCAAATTCCATTCTATTTTAACAAGTGCCAAATCAGAGATAGAAGTTTATGTGAAAAATTAGCCATATACTTTCATATTTCAATATTGTATGTACAGGTCTTATCAAGAAGACTGGTGAAGATAATAATAAAGCTCTTAAGGAAACCCAAGTGACTTCTTATTTGGTACAGAATTTTGTTTTAAAAAGATCAAAGGATCTTCATAAATCTAAAACAAACATTCAGAAACCTTTAAAATATTGGGACTTGTCTCCATCAGTAACAACTCACTAGACATGCAACAGCCTCCAGCAGCTCCTTTATACCAGCAGAGGTGATACTATCAAGTAATACGTGGCAGGCGCCAAGCCAACCATCAAGGAAAAAAGAATAGAGGTAAACACAGGTAAAGAGGTAAGCAAATTCAATTGACCTTAAGTTATTCCAAATGGTGTAAAATAATGTTTAAAAAAATAACTTTCTCATAGTAGGTCGACAACAATACATTAGTGTGAGTCAAGCATGTCCTGTAACATATTTTGAGTTAAGTGTCAGAAAATATTGTATTTAATACATTTGTAAAATGAATTAAAACAAGAGTAGTCATAATTTTGTTTTTACTTATTGGTAAATACCATAATATTATTTATAAATAGATGAAGAGATTCAGAAAATGATAATTGTAAAGTTCTAGAATTACTGTTAATTGGATTATAAAGTAAATTCAAAAAAAATCAATACCTTAAAAGTACATTTAAATAACTTGGTCTTAACATATAAAATTATAGCATTTTCATACCTAAAGTGAAACACAAATATTTCACATGAATGATAAGCCAATTAATAAATTACAATCCACTACAATCATATAGGAAGTTTGCTAATTTAATAGACAAATTAATATCTGTTTGTCCAGCTATCTTTATGGGTAACTATATACAAAACAAATAAAAATGTATCAAAAGGCAATAATTTTGAATCTAAATTAATACTGAAAAATCATATTTAGATTTCAAGTAATCCAATTACAGGGGGTGCTTATAAAATGAAAATCCTTTCGAGATATAATGAATGTGATATTGTTGTTTGGTCAAAAAACTACATGGTATTAAGACATAACATATTGAACATATTTTAGTTTTTACTTTGGATCATAAAGTTTTGCTATAAGATATATATAATATTTAGCTATGGCTAAAATTTCTTATAGCACTACAGCTATATCATATATAAACCACATGGGTGGCATATAATAACCACATCAAGTGACATAGCTTGTAAAATTGATCTTGTGAAATATACGTATTTCTTTTTTGCCTTATGAATAACATCTTAAGGTAATTTTTTCGTTTGCAAAGAATCCAGGAAAACTAATGGATAAATAAAATGAGAATCAAATTCCTTAACCATTAAAAAAAATTCTATAAGATTTTAACCAAAATTAATAGATAAACTTAAAACTTAGCATTTGCTATTAGAAAAAATATAAACGCATAAAATTCATAGGTCAACCTTAAGTTTAAGCACTATACTCCACAATCTTCAAACGGAATACATAAGAAGGAATAATCTTCTAATATTCATAAGCCTGTAATAAAAACATTGTTAACAAATACGACTTATTAAAATTCTTACCCTGGTCAACAACTATTATGAAAGATCTCCTTTGATCAAAACTTACCTTGCTGTGGAAGAGCTGTAAAAGAGGTATTTATGTATGTAAAGCATAAAAATAAGCCTTGGTCTGTATATACAATATGTCTATTGTCTAAAGTCGTGGTAGATAAAGTAAGAAATTTACTTATTGTTCGTCATATTATGATTTGGGGTCATACTGTGAAGTTAAACAGTTATTTTCTGGTGTTTATAGGAAGAAAAATAAAAACTACAATACAATCAAAGCTTAAGTCTAACATAATTTGGTTGACAAAGCTGAGTTTTATCAAAAAGAAGAAGCAAATAAATATAGAGTAGTAAGAGAAAATATGACTATTTTTGACTGACTTTAAGAAGGAGGAGGTGTTCAGTTCGACTGTAAGTTTTTTTATGTGTGTTTCCTCATAGCTTTTCTCTGAATGAGCCGATTTTGATGAGTCTTTATTTTTATTTGAAAGCGGTACTTCAAGTGTAGTCTCATGTTGATTTAATCAGGATCTGACCAGTGGTTTTTGAGTTGTCCTTAATAATGCGTATTTGATTAACTTTTAATACATTGATGATCTTTTTATATTATTTCTATTGAAGTTGGTTGTGCAAAGTATTTAATTTTGCCACTTATATCAATTACCTAACAATATCACTTGTACGTCACTTAAACTGTATGAAATTTAGTAAATTAATTATTAATTTTTAAAACTGCTTAATATCCCTGCAACAAATCAAACAGCTAGTTAGGTAAAGTGTTTTAAAAAGAAAATACATTACATACAGTACGTAGTACCAGGCATTCATCCCCTTCTCATCCTAGAAGAAGTTGTATTGATGATATTGTTACAATGTGTTAGAAAGACAACAATCTTACATCCAAACTTTTTCCGTTTATTATAAGAGGCCATTATTAATTAAGAGCATATGAAAAGTATAAAATAAATAAACAATAATTCATAATGGGAAATTATATAATCTAAATTTATATATTGTGCTTATTGTTTATTTTGTTGTAAATTGTTAATTATGATAATTTATGACAGTAAATATTTAAAATGAAGCAATAAAATCTTTAAACATCTACATAATACCATTTCCAGTATCTTTCTCTTACCCATAATAGGTTCCTTCGATCCTCCGTCAATCTTTCTCTCTCTACACCTTTGCACTCTTCTTCCTTTTTCAAGAAATCCTTCACCGTAACCGCTGTGCGATTGTGGAACTCCTTACCTCTCCATATTTGTCGTGCTAAATCTCTTCACTCTTTCAAATGTCTTGTTAAATCGTATTATTTAGAACGCTATTAGATAAATTACTTTACCTTTCTCGTACTCTTTTCATTTAATCTACTATATGATAATTTATATATAACTTTCACTTATCTTTATTTGTATGTATTATTATATTTTTAATATTATTTTGTATCCCCCCCCCCCTCTACTATAACTTTAACTTTTGTTTGCATCATTCCTCTACGTAAAGGTTGTCTGGAAGAAATGACTTTCAGAGTGATAAGACCGCCTATTGTACAATAGGCGGTCTTCGGTACTTTAATTTAGTATTAACTTTACTTGATGTTTATGTATTTTGGTGTACAAAAAAGAATAAATAAATAAATAGTATACAAACACAGAGGAGACGTCAACGAACATAACTATTTGATCAAAGTAACTTACCTGTAACTGTCCTTCGATCAAAATCATATGGAGTTAACGCCTCCTCTGTGTACAACCCTACCCTGCTGTATATTATTACCCACCCTAAGGGCTTGCTTGCATTTTAATTAGTTTTTCATAATTCTAGTGGATATAAATTCACATTGACATGAGCTGTATAGTGTTACCAGTGGGAGTTCATATAGGTTGGGATACCAGTAAAAATATTATTTTTCCACCGGAATATTAAAACTCGTGTGAACCGCTCCGTCAATTTATGACTACATAGATGACATACACAGAAGAGGCGTCAACATCATATAATATTGATCGAAGGACACTTACAGGTAAGTTACTTTGATTAAATAATTATAATTAAATAAATAAACAAATTAATTTAAATCTGAAAACAAATTTTAGTTTCTTAAAAATAGTTTAAAAGAGAACTGCTTCATTAAATATAAACTAAGCCTCTTAACTTTATGTTATTTAATTAATTTTCTTAGCAAATAAGGAATAGATCATAGCATTCACATAGTAAATATGCCAAAACCTATTCAATAAAAAGACTAGTAGACTTGTATTAGTCTTTTAATTGCATCTACAGCTGGCATTAGTAAACTAATAAACTACTAGTTTTCTAATGCTAACTATACATGATGGCCGAACGAAGGCGAGTAATAATAATAATAATAATAATAAAGGGGAAGAAACTGGATGTTTGGCGTATCGGGCTAGGATGCATCGTCTTTTTGCTGAGCTGGAGCCATCTCTATCCGTCACTGAGCAAAACCTGGCAGACCGAGTTAGGTACATCCTGCGCTCCAACATATTTGGTGACGCCGAACTCGAGCGACTACGACGTGAGGCTATTCCTTCATCGAATGGAAATGCTACGGCTGGGAATGCGGCGCCACTAGATGCGCAACAAACTGCATATGTGGATGCTGACATCAACATTCCATTTGTGGCTAATTCAGACGATGATGGAATAGTCTCCCACGAACTAGAGAAAATGAGGAGCATATTGGAAGAGTCGATGCTGGAAACGCGCAGTATGCCTCTCGAAAATCGACCGCGACTTCCCCGCATACCCCTTAGCAAGCGAAATCGGGCTGTCGTGCGGGCTCTTAACCCAATGCTGGTGACCTATTTGGAAGCCAGCCGGGACCTTTGCGAGACGGATTCAATTCTTTTTGGCGCCGCACTGGCAGTATGCCGTATTATTGGCGCCAAACTTCCCGTGGCTGGACGTGCTACTCAAAAAAGTAGCGCCATCCCAGCCTGGAGAAAAAGAATTGAGGACCGTATCGCAAAGGCAAGGGCCTTATCGGCAGACTGACAAGCTTCAGGTCGGGTAATAATAGACCGAGGATTATGCGCACCGTTAGGATGGCGTTTGCTGGGACAAATATCAGTTTGTTCCAGCCGGATATCACGCAAAAACTAACGGAGCGCATAGATGACCTGAAGCAAAAAGTCGCTGCTTGGGGGAAGCGGATTCGACGATTTAGCGAGAGGTCAAGGCGGTTCAACCAGAATCGTCTCTTCCAGAGTGATCAGAAGAGGCTCTATAAATCATTGGAGCGACCAGAGGTATGTGGAGCGGGCCCAGGACCGGATCAGGCTGACACTGTCGCATTTTGGCGTGGCCTGTGGTCAGAGCCCGTAAACCACAGCGAGGGCCCTTGGATGGAAGTTGTGGCGAGCCAGAGTGCAAGTGTTACGCCTATGGACCCCGTCACCATAACGCCTGAAGACGTGGCTGAGGCGGTCCGTAGGGCCCCGAACTGGAAAAGTCCGGGGCTCGACGGGCTGCATCATTACTGGCTGAAGGGGTTCGTAGTGTGTCACGCTGTGCTCGCCCGACAGTTTCAAGAGGCTCTCGATCAGAAGTCGCTCCCGAGCCTCTTCACTACTGGGATCACTCATTTGGTTCCTAAAGATCAGGATACCACAGACCCGAGCAAATACCGCCCCATCACGTGTCTACCCACCATATATAAGACACTGACATCCATTTTGAGCGCGAGAATCACTCGTCACCTGGAGCTAAATCAGGTGATGTCACGCGCTCAAAATGGATGCCGGGGCGGTGGTCGTGGAACCAAGGAACCACTCCTCATTGACGCGGTCATTGGCAAAGTGGTGAAACGCAACCGTCGGAATTTCTCCGCCGCCTGGATAGACTACAGAAAGGCATTCGACTCGGTGCCCCATACATGGCTAAAGAGAGTCCTCCAGCTGTACAAAATTGACTGTACAGTTGGAGACTTCCTCGAGCAGTGTATGGGGCAATGGAGTACGATCCTTTGCTATCTGGGCGAGCGGATGATGGCTGCGGAGAACCACATAAGGATAAGAAGGGGTATCTTCCAGGGCGATTGTCTGAGTCCAATCTGGTTTTGCCTCTCCCTGAACCCTCTCAGTACTTTACTGGAGGGCTCCGGGAGGGGATTTCAGCTTCGGAAAGGAGGTACAAAAGTGACCCACCTTTTCTATATGGATGACCTCAAGTTATTCGCCTCCAGTCGCTCCCATCTTATGGAATTGCTAAACATCACTTGTGAATTTAGCAATTCTATTGGAATGGAGCTGGGAACGGATAAGTGTGCGGTCCTCCATGTTGAAAGGGGGAGGGTTGCTAACTCTGAGGGCATAGACTTATCTATGCCCGTCAACTTAAGGACCCTTTCCGAGGCTGAAACATACCGATACCTGGGTATGTCACAGAACATCGGTATCGATGAGGCTAGTATGAAACAGTCAGTTTGCGACGTGTTTTATGCACGCTTGACCAAAGTGCTTAACAGCCTTTTGTCCGGTGTGAATAAGACACACGCATATAACAGCTGGGTCATGCCTGTCCTCATGTATACCTTTGGCATACTCAGGTGGACTCAGACTGAACTTAACGCCCTGGATAGAAAAGTCCGCACTACCATGACTTCCCACAGGATGCATCATCCGAGATCGTCGGTAATGAGGCTGTACTTGCCGCGAAAGCATGGTGGGCGTGGCTTCTTGAGCGCGCTCACCATGCATAATCGCGAAGTGTGCAGCCTCCGTAATTACTTCTTGGCGAGATCGGATGATCCATTCTATAAGGACGTCATTTCTAGTGATAAAGGATTTACCCCTCTATCCTTAGCCAACGAGCAATGGCAAGACCCGGCAGTGCAGACAATTTCCGACCGGGAGAACGTATGGAAGGAGAAGGAGCTCCACGGGAGGTTCTACAAGGCTCTACATGAGCCTTTCGTAGACACAGTAGCCTCCCTCCACTGGCTACGCTTTGGTGATCTCTTCGGGGGAAACCGAGGGTTTTGTCTGTGCAATACAGGATCAGGTTATTAAGACCAACAACTATCGGAGATACATCCTAAAGTGAGAAGTGAGTCACTTAGGCATGTCATCTCCGGTTGTTCGGCGCTTTCTAACTCTGAGTACTTGCACAGGCACAACCTAGTAGCCAGAATTCTTCACCAGGAGCTCGCTCTGAAATACGGTCTCGTGGATCGGAAATTGCCGTATTACAAGTACTTGCCGGAAGCCGTGCTCGAAAATGATCGCGCCAGGCTCTATTGGGACCGGGCCATCATCACAGACAGGACTATTCTTGCGAATAAGCCTGATATTGTGCTGATGGACCGGGCACAGTCAAGGATATTTTTGGTCGACATTACCATTCCGTATGACGAGAACCTCGTGAAAGCCGAAACAGACAAGCAAACAAAATATCTGGACCTGGCTCACGAGGTGACGGACATGTGGGGTGGTCTGCCGACCGAAATTATTCCTGTAGTCGTCTCTGCAAACGGGCTAATCCCAGTCAGCCTCTCGGGTCATCTGAGGCGACTGGGACTACGTGGCGGACCGCTCCGGGCTCAAATGCAGAAGGCGGTGCTCCTCGATACCGCCCGCATCGTCCGCCGGTTTCTTTCTCTTTCCCCCCTAACCCTCGGCCGTTTGGTCTCCCCTGCCGAGGGCCTCCATCTGGTTGGGCTTTTATTTATTTATGTATTTTTATATTTATTTTATGTTATTGATATATATGTATATTTATCTTTTCATTTTCATTTATAATTATATATTTATAGAACCCAACCAGATGAGAAAACTATATAGATACCCCACAAAATAATAATAATGTCCTCCAGACTGAATTCCGGTCACGGCGGCCTGCCTCAACGGAGGCTAGCCATCGCATCGGCGCAGGACAGGATTATAGTGCCCAAGTGTATGCGCAAGCACAGGTGCACTCCCTATTGCCCTCACTCTCATAATCCGTTGGGATGGTAAACCGACACGACCGGAGAGAGATCAGGCGCAGGACCAACGGCTTTACGTGCTTTCCGAGGCACGGGGGTGAGACACCGCCAACTTCCTGGCTCCGGGCAACAACTGAGAATTTCTTGACGGAAAAACCCAATAATTAATTTTTTGGCCCGACCCGGGATTCGAACCAAGCACCTCATGATCAGCAGTCGCACTACTACAACCACTAGACCAACGAGGCAGTCAACGAAGCGAAGGCGAGTACTAATGTATAGAAAGCCCATTTGTCTAGCTTTGCTATTGCTCGTCGTCGCTCGCCTAGCTGGCCGAGTGAAGGCGAGAGCCAAAGTTTATGCGTTTCATTAGACGTTCCTTGCGGCTACCTATACGGACTACCCATAGCTTAGGTTCAGAAATATATCAACCGCTAACATCTGAAGGCGATCAGCGTACTCAAAAACACATTTCGAATAGTAGGAGCCAGGGTGAACGAGCTCCTTTTAGTACTAAAACGACACGATTGTGTTCTGGAGACGTTGAATCCCACGGAATTGGTTTCGTCCTATTCGGAGAAATCCTGCAGAGAGAGATTCGCAAGCTCAGCCACAGCTTCTGTTTTTGACTAGATTTGATCCCGACTGGCCTGAGCCTTGGCTGGTATCATATAACGAAAACAAACAGATAATTAATATGCAGCTAAAAGAGTGCTGAAGAGAGAATGGACCCTGAAGAACTCTGGCGTTTGTTGCGATAGAATTGAACGAGCACCCATCAACGAAGACGAGAAGAGATCATTTACTTAGAAATTCCTTCATCCAGTCAATCAGAACAGGAGGTAAGTTGTACGCTGGAAGCTTGCCTTAAAGATTTACGTGCCAAATACTGTCAAAGGCCTACGAGACATCAAGAAAAACAGCAAGTGCTTGAAGTATGTTTTAATGGAAGCGCGCTTCAAGGTGTAGCCAACATTGTCAGTGGCTCCTCTGACATATGGCAGTACAGCAGGTACAGCTCGACTGTGGCCGGCTTCACTCTTTTACTGTGACATAGGTGCGGAACCCGAAGCTTTTTGTCATGCAAAACTTGCTTGACGTGTTGGAGCTCGGCAGCCAGGTGTTTACTGTCACAGATCCCTCGTGCTCTCTGAAACAAAGATTTACCCACGGTACCTAACTTTTTAAAAGGATGTGTCGTTACCTCTGAGGCATAAGATAGAATGATAATATTCGAGTCTGCAATTATACTGGTTCTCTATGTCATTCAGATCTAAATACAGAGCAGTGCCGGCACAGCTTTGTGGTAGCAGACCTGACGGACTCCGCAGCCACCTAGTAAAAAAATAACAAAACAAATACGCTTGAAGGTCCCCAGTTGATCGATTTCAACAAAACCGTAATTTATCATTTTGCTTTAAGTATTTCACGAGATGAGCGTTCGGTATACACTTCAAAATCCGCAAGAGTATTGAGGTGATCGCAACTGGCCGTTAGTTGTCAAGGTCGGTACGGCTGTCCATTTTAGGTACAGGCTGCATGGCTTGACTTGGCTAGCTTCCAAGATTTGGGCACTATTATAGGCATGAACAAGAGACGAGATAAGCGCGTCAACACAGGAGAAAACTCAGGCACACAGATCTATAGAACTATAGTTGGTATACCATCAGGTCAACTAGCTTTATTCACTTCTCGACTTCGCAATATTTTAAAAAACTCCTTGTTGATGATACGGACCTCTGACATAGAGATACCACAGCAAATTTCGTGCAAAAACAGGAACAAATAAGTCCGCTTTCTCCTTAGATGCTTGCGCCAAAGAGCCTTGTGATTTTACCAGTAACACTCCATCGCTTGACATATTACATCGGTATTGGCATCCGCGCAGTTCGAAGGATCTTTAGACAAAAATCAAACCTCTGCCAGGCAAGGATGCAAAAAAATATCGCATCTCATCCATATCTGCTGACATGTATCGTCACATTCATGGCACACCTTGCAAATCCTAGTTATGTGTAGAATATAATGACACAGATTTCACCAGACGGTGGTTAGATTTTCCCAAGGAGGAAGAAGCTTGTACATCATACCTGTCCGTATCAGCCATCAGCAGAAGGTCGAGGCCGTTGACTGTGTGCCCATTCACATCGGGTACCGTAGTAGCTCGTTTTACTACCTAGGAGTGCCTCAGCGACAACGTTAAATTCCACGCCTCTTTTCCATCTTTGTCGGTCTTCTGAAAATAGTTGTTGGGGTCTTCCCCAGAAAAACCAGCTGTGCAGTAGGGTACCGATTTACAGCTTCTTGGTTATCGCTGTGCAATAGTTAGACAAAAGAAAAAATAATTTAATCCATTCCTATGTCTATTAGTACCTAAATCGTGGCGAAAGTGAGGTCTTCAAGGTGGCGAAAATACTTACAGCAGATGTCATTGCAGACATATACACAGATTCTGGTGCGCTGATGGAAATTATGCTCCAATGTGTGCCCAGGGTAGTCAAGGTACACCGCATCTAGAGGACATCTGATCTGTGTCTCAGTGAAGAAGAGTTAGTGGAGCTTGTCAGTTTTAAGGTGGTAGTGGACTGCATTGAGATTACAGTGCAGACCTCGGCTGTTTATAAAATATACTTTGCAAAAACACACAAAAAACAAAAGCAAAGCAAAGACACTTTTATAAAGTAAAGGGGAAGGGGCCCTCCCAAAACACACCCCCCAAAAAAAAAAAACGGACCCCCCCCCCCCAACCCCAGGAGAACACCAAACACCCCACCAAGACACGCACGAGGTCACAGATACCGAAGTGACTCCAAAAGTGATCCAATTTTCAATTTTTGGCACGGAGCAAAAATGATGTTGCAAAAATACACCCACACTAATGCAGCCGCGTATAAGAAACTAGTCATAGAATAAGACGAAAACTCCTGTATAGTCTGATCGGAAAGAAAAGTAAAGTGATATTTGAAAGTTGTATGGTAACCTTGAAAAATCAATTGTAAGATGTTTATAAATTATTACATATTAATACACGAATACATTAAATATACTTCCTTTTATTTACTGGCTTTCAAATTATAAAAGTTATTTTCCTTTTTGCCCACATTAGTTCTCTTTCCAATAAACTTAATCTAAGCCCCTAACCATAATTTAAAAAGCAATGTGCAATAAAATAATTAACTATTCGTCAGATATTTATTATTATAGATAAAGTTATAAATAAAATTGTCACTTAATTGCATTTTTATCTCTCTCAAATGTCAACTTTTCTTATTGATAAGATTATACTGACCGCCTGGTTTCAATTTGCTTATTTAAAAATATAATTTGCAATAATATATTCAGATGATGCAAATCATATATCTATATATTCTGAATCCTTTTTAAATATCGTTAAGTCATCTGCCAACACGTTGAAAGATTCTGTAACTTGTCAAAATGATTCAGAAAATCTTTTTGTTCCTATTCGTTACTAGTTGTTTGGTACATGAATTGCATACATCAGAAGGTTTGTACATATATTGCTAAAATGTGTAATTATGTAAATTTTATAATTGAAATAATTTCAGTTTTTATCTCCCCTACTCCTTATCATTTATAAAAGGACTCACATACGAAATAATTCCCCAGTATTATAAATATAAAAATTAATGATATTTTTCGCAATATTCTTTGAACACTATTTGTAATACTTCCCGAATACACTCAATAAACAACATGCATAATGTTTTAACTTTAAGTTATAACAATTGTCATTAGTCATGTTGATGGATGCAGGTAGCCTAGCGCCGTGGTTTGTGGCATTGCTCCGGGGAAAGCCTTTGTTCAAGATTAGAATTTTAAAAAGATGGAATTGATGATAATATTATTGTGTGAATGTTGTACAAATAACGTATGTTACATAAAACTCTTTCAAATGTTTACATTCATTATTTATTCATTCATTACAGCGTATTAAAAGTTCAATACTGAACATAGTCTTCCGCATATATTGCCTCGTAGGGGGAATATTTGCCATAGTTACCACGTTTGGCAGGCGGGTCGACAACTGAATGGATGTCTACAAGCTATTCATCAACACCCAAAAGGAATGTTACTTGATTAATGAGAGATGCATAATATTTTACGTACCACAATTTTTGTGGTCAATTAAATACTATGATTACAATTACCATAGCGGGACTTTCCCTCCAAATATATGAGACAATTGTCTGCCCTACTCATTGTTATTATATATCATTTTAGAAACTATTTTTACTTTTGTAAATAAGAACTTAAATTTAATTTAAACGCTACAATATAGTTTTCTTTTTAAGTGTCTTTTATTAAATCATGCAAAGCTGGTGACCACGAATGTCTATTAGCCGCTAACACTCAAATTGCGATTCCCTACATCGCCGATGGCATTGCCGAACTTGGAATACCTGCATTGGAACCCATGCATTTTGAAAATATAACAATTGACCAAGGATTCTTCAAATTGTTTTTGCAAAATATGAAGGTAACTGGTGCCAGAAAATGCAAGGTTGCTGAGATGAAGTAAGTGTATTTCCTTTATTTTATAAAAAATAATTAGAACAGACTAGGTTTATTATAAACAACATTTTCTAAAAATAATATAAATGTGGTCTACTGATGATACTCGTACTTAATAAATATTAGTTAATTTCCAAACAGGCGTAACTTTAGAGAATCTACAATGAAAATGACTCTAGATTGCCCACTTGAAGCAACAGGCAGATATATTTTTACTGGAAGTCTTTGGTATCAAGCAATCAGTAATGAAGCGGACTTCGTAATACACGCAGGTACTTTTACATTCTTAAGGATATATTTTATCATTTCATATAAGCTGAAATGCTTGCTAACAAATTTTATGATAAAAATGTTTTGAAAAAAAAATATTGACAATGTCTTGGACATCTAATTATTAAATAAAAGGTAAGGTTTCTAATATTTATCACGATTATAGATTATTGCAACGCTTGGCAGACGGATTGAATTTCAAAGCATATGCAATATAGTTCTTTTCGATAAATAACAAAAGATACAAAGGCTTTCTAGTACGTTTCTCCCTAAGACACATTTGAATTTCTTATATCGTACGTGTAAACTATCGAAAACTACAGAAAATCTTTTACGTTCTTAACTATGACATATGAAATTATATATTTTAACCTGATGTGTAAGCTATTGCTAGGCAGCAGGTTGTAAAGGGTTGTATATTCCAATTTTCCACCAAAGCCATTTTGCATCCGGGCAGAGTATCCTGCTGATTAAAGAACAAGGCTCTGGTAACGCTGAAATCATATTTCACAGACTCGGGGACAGGAAGCAGTATTATAATGTTTTGGTAAAAGGTTTTGGTTCTGCGAGCCTAACTAACTAGCCTACCGTCGTGATGATTATTTGCAAATGAAAATTTATATAATAGACAATTGGTTTAGTATAATCTGTTGAAAGCCATAAGATCTTCTGAGAATTACTCATTGTCGCCTCTTGTCGCCCCTACACGGCAAGCCCCACGTATAAAATACACGTAGTTATAACGAATACCCTTTTTTATTCTAACTTTTAACTGTATCCAGTTTGCCATTATTTAATTAACGAAGAAAGCATTTTTAGCCGAATTCAAAAAAGAAGGAGGTTTGCAATTCGACGGTATTTTCTTTGTATTTATTTTAGATTCGTAAATATTGAACCGATTTTTATAATAAATTTTATTAAATAACTTAAGCATCAGAACTTTAGGTGTGGTCCCATACAAAATTTAAGAGAAAATTCCACCCCTAAGGGAGGAAAAATAGTGGATAAATTTAATGATTTCTTATAATTACACGAACACTAGACATTGAATAAAACTATTTATGCTGATTTTATCACGTTTAATTTACTTATTCTTAACTCCCGAACGTTTTCAACGTATCGGGTGCTTTGCAGCACTCAGGGCCACGGGGGGACCTAGGTGTTTGACGTTCCAATGCCATAGTTAGTCCGGCTACTTTCAGTTTGTTTAATATTAGGTTTTGCTCCGATTTATGAAGAACGAGCTTACAGTATCTTGGCAAGCTCGACGAGCTCAGCATTGCAGTGGTATGCTTGGGTTTGGATTTAATTTTTTTAATTATAGGATCCCAAGCAGATGGTGGCACCCATCCGTCTTCTATATATAAATTAAGATGTTTTTAAATTTTTAATACACTCAAAATTTAAAAAAAAAAATTTAAACAAAAAGTAAAAGCCAACTTCATAGTACTGAAAGGAATTAAATAATTTCTACATAATAGATTCCTAAAATATCGATTTATATACATTAATAGGTAATAAAAAGTCGAATATAACAAGCAATATGTTTATATTACTAGTCACAGACTTTATAACATGACTACAAACTAATAAACTATTTTAACAGATTCTATAAGAACCATCGTTACTTTCAAGATTGAAGAAATACGTGATAAAGATGGTAAGACGTACATGAGTCTGATTGACTATATATATCTTATCGAGCTGGTGGACAATCTTCACCTGGAGTTTGGAAATTTATTCTCAAGCAATATTGGAAAAGGTATTTGTATTAAATAATCTATTCTTTAAAAATGTGTATTTTATAGCCCTAGATGTGTGATGGGTCGGATGGTATTCGGAATAATGATAGTCAGACCGTACTTTAAACCTAAACATTTACACCTAATGATTATCGTGAACGGTTCACTGCCATGATGCTGGCGATAATATGTTGCTGGTGATGACATACTCGTTATTTCAATCACCAACATGCAACTAGTTTACGTTTTCCAGCACTAAAGAACGTATTTCTCTTGTATTGAATTCCTCAAAAAATTAACGTTTATTAGTCTCCCATTTGAAATTTCCTGCAATGGTTCCGATATTTGAACTCACAAAATTACTCTTCCTTATAGTCTATATTAGTACGGTCGTGTGTGTTGAATTAACAAGCACTTTCCTAATGGCAAATTGATAAGTAGATGTGAGTAAACCGATTTGCATTCACAGCGATTTTAGGGTTCTCTGTTAAACAAAGAACTCCAATAATTTCGTTTTGTGCATCTGTTTTAAGCTAAGGTGCTTTTTGTTGTTAGTGATTGTGCTTGATTATGAAATTTACGGACAACATCTTGCTTATAACATACATAAACTTATAAATAAATTACCCTTTACACTTAAAAATGAAATTAATATGCAAAATATAAAACTAACACTTATACTACATTTTAAAGACCAAATAAAATAGTCGCTTGCTAAAGAACTATTTAGTATTTAAATACGTAATAAACGTTCATGTTATGAGTATCACATGTACGTTATAATATGTATGTATTAGCTTAATACTGCTGATTCGTATGGTGAATGTAGAGATCCGGAGATCCTTTTTTACTGTTAATACATTTTAATATAATATATGTAAATACATTTATTACTGTAAAAAATGAACGTTGCATTCCTTCTTAGACCTCAGGGGTGACAACACATCTACGTTTTGATCCTTAATCGAGTATAAATGTAGATATCTAATGAGCCACATCATTCACTTACCATCCGATGGACAGTGTACTCGTTTATCACTCTTATTCTATAAAAAAATCGTGAAACAATATTTTTAAGTTGAGCGTAATTAAAAAGTGAATTCTATTTCTAATTGCACCCCTGATTTACACAGGTATTATTAGTGTTTTACTTACTTTTCTTTTTTTACAGTGCAACCTTATTTGAGAATAATAAACAACGAGTGGTGGTACTCTGTTGCAAATATTGGCGAGCCCATTGCCAGCGCCATGGTCCAGAACTTCTTCGATGTTATGAAATTGTATTTCCTTCGCGTACCAGTGGGCAATATTTGATTGATGAATTTGAATGATTATTCTGTTAAAATACTGTACAGTTTATATGTCAACTAAAATAAACATGTAACTGCCATTCGAAAATATATGTTGTTTTATTTTATTATCCGTTCGTTTCTTACTCTTAAGTTAAATTGATATGCAAGGTTTTTAGTGATACAGAAGGAACCGTGTAGTTTTGGTGTTTAAGATGTCCACTACTTCATATCAAACCTGGACGTGTAAGAGGCGACTGAAAGAAACTAAAACAGAAGATGGGCTGCGGTATCTTCCAGATAGAAACTTAATTCCGATTGCCCAACGTGACAACTTTGGAAAAATCACCCCTATAAGGCGATGTATGGGGAGGCATATGTTCAGAAGTAGACTTTTATAGACTGTAACAAATCATGGATTGTAGGTTTTTAATGATGCTTTAGACGCAACGTAACAAATACTCGTGCAAAGACACCGATAACTACTTTTACGCAACTGAACAGACAGATATCTAAATGAGTGTGGCGAGACTTACGCAACTTCAACACAGAAGCAAACAAGCGGAACCAGGGTTCCGAAGCTTTTGATAGAAATCTGTCTGCCAGAAAGACCCAACTACTGAAGCTGAAGACTGAATGTTGTAGCATCGTTTCCGGGACACCTGAGATTTTAAGTACCATTGAGATTTTCTACGAATAGCTGTACACGTGTATCGTTGGAATCACAAGCAAGTGTGAGTAACGATTCAAGAGCAAGTCTTATCTGACGTTATTCCCATAATATCCCGAACATCAATCTGAGCGAGATTAGAATAGCTCCCTAGCATTTTCGAAATAGCAAAGCTCAGGGCGAGGATAGAATTACAGCGGTGCTTCTGAAAGTAGGTAGCACAAGTACTTGAAGTCGCTCAGAAGTTTTTCAATTCCTCAAAGGTGGCACTACGATTACTCCAGAGGCGTGAGCAAAAGTGCAATGGTCTTGTTCTTCAATAAAAGGGACGTTTGTACAGTAGAGCTAAGATGGCTATCCGGATACGGAAAGAGAGTACGAAATCCAACCAACTGCAGATAAAGATAAGTCAGCCTGACGTTATATTCCCGAAACTCTTCACCGCTACATTGGAAGAGGTTTCCATGTTTTTTGACTGGAAAGGGTATGGTATTAACATCAATTGCGAGTACGTCGCGCACCTAGGATTTGCTTACGCTATAGCCCTTATGGCAAAATCGTTGCATCGTTGCTATGCATCATGCATAGTGCGCAGTGCTTTATGACCTCAATAGTGTCTCCAAACGGGTAGGTCCATAAGATGAACATGGATATAACGAGGGCATGTAAAATTCTCCAACACGCATTGCGGCAGCGCGGCGGATACTTCCTTGCCCTAAAACCCTCTCAGAAATGAAGTGAGGCCTGTGCCCAGCAGAGTAGAACGTATATCTGTTGTATATTTAATTTACTTTTATATATTTGTTCCAAAAATGTTAGATGTATAGGGTCTAAATTTTTAGTTATTTATATTGTTTAAATCTTTTTATACATACGCGCCTTTTTAACAAAGCTCATGAGTAACGTCCGTGTCACACTTATGCCAGTAGTTGTTGGGAGTAGTATACTCGAAGGTATTGACGAGAATGTTTACCTTCAGCATATGTAAAGTTAGACCTGAGAAATCCAACTTCAACCGAGAGGCCGATCGACGGATTCAACTAGCCCGGGCAGCGTTCGAAAGATTACGACACATCCTCTAGTCAGGTACTCAGAACTCAGAACTTTAAAATAAATGGATCTGACATGTTCCATAAGCTTCCTTATACAGCCACTATATAGGAAGCTCAAGGTTGCTAAGCGAGCTGTGGATGGGGCAATGCTCGGCGTTTCTATATGTGATAGATTTAAAATGAGAATATCCTCAATAGAACTAGATTAAATGACATAACCCAACAGATTAGTAAGCTGAAGTAACAGCGGATCGGCAATACAGCTCATTGAACCGAAAACCGATAAGAAGAAAGATTTTCGAGTGGCAGCCTTGGAGTGGTAGACGAAGTGTTGGGTGATCCCCACTAGATGGAATAACGAACTGCTCTGTTTAATGTACTGCAGGGAGTCGATGGTTGCAGGTGGTTCGGGTCCGGGTTTCGTAGGGTTGTTTGGGCTCCCATGGTCAGCAAGGGACTTGTGAAGGGCTGTATTAATGATGATGATGATTTTAATATGGGGTTATGATCAATATCATATTATTCCTTTCCTCATCAATTTACACGTATCTGACTCATAAACTTTCTTTATTCAAATAAATTCGTGATCATTACATTACAAGTATGTGGGTCACGAATATAAATAGGTTTATAATGCGATAATTTATTATTATCATTAATTTGTAACGCGTTTAACACGAAAATTCGGGAACATCTTGTAATACTTGTGCTACCTACTTTCAAAAGCACCGCTGTAATTCTATCCTCGCCTGGATATTTTGAAAATGCTAGAGAGCTATTCTAATCTCGCTCAGATTGACGTTCGGGATATCATAGGAATAACGTCAGATAAGACTTGCTCTTGAATCGTTACTCTCACACTTGCTTGTGATTCCAACGATACACGTGTACAGCTATCCATAGAACATCTCAATCGTACTTAAAATCTCAGGTGTCCCGGAAACGATGCTACCACATTCAGTCTTCAGCTTCAGCAGTTAGGTCTTTCTGGTAGACAGATTTCTATCAAAAGCTTCGGAACCCTGGTTCCGCTCCATTTTTTCTGTGTTTAAGTTGCGTAAGTCTCGCCACACTCATTTAGATATCTATCTCTTAAGTTGCTTAAAAGTAGTTGTCAGTGTCTTTGCACGAGTATTTGTTACCTTGTGTCTAAAGCATCATTAAAAACCTACAATCCATGATTTGTTACAGTTTATAAAGGCTACTTCTGAACATATGCCTCCCCATACATCGCCTTATAGGGGTGATTTTTCCAAAGTTGTCACGTTGGGCAATCGGGATGAAAACCGCAAGTTTTTATATTATTTAGTTTTTATCTGGAAGATACCGCTGCCCATCTTCTTCTTTAGTTTCCTTCAGTCACCTCTTACATGTCCGGGGTTGATATGATGTAGTGGACATCTTACACACCACAACTACACGGTTCCTTCTGTATTACTAAAAACCTTGCGTATCAATTTAACTTAAGAGTAAGAAACGAACTGATAATAAAATAAAACAACATTTATTTTTAAATGGCAGTTAAATGTTTATTTAAGTTGACACATATACCGTACAGTACTTTTACAGAATAATCATTCAAATTCATCAATCAAATATTTTCCACTGGTACGCGAAGGAAATACAATTTCATAACATTGAAGAAGTTCTGAACCATGGCGCTGGCAATGGGCTCGCCAATATTTGCAACTGAATACCACCACTCGTTGTTTATTATTCTCAAATAAGGTTGCACTGTAAAAAAAGGAAAGTAAGTAAAATACTAATAATATCTGTATAAATCAGGGATGCAATTCGAAATAGAAATCGCTTTTTAATTATGCTCAACTTAAAAATATTGTTTCAAGATTTTTATAGAATAAGTGTGATAAACGAGTACACTGTCTACCTGATGGTAAGTGAATGCTGTGGCCCATAGACATCTACATTTATACTCGATTAAGAATCAAAACGTAGATGCGTTGTCACCCCTTTTTTTTTTTTTTTTTGCGGATGGAAAATCATCTAATGACCCCTCTCGCTCTGGGTGGAGCGTAAGGGAGTGTCAGACTTTTACTGACTAAAAACCATCCGTGTTCCTTCAGTGCCCTTACGTTCCGGAGCCGCGGTATCTCTTTCGAATAGCCCGCAGCCCCGGCAGGCGTCGGCCCTTGCGGGCCCCATCACGCTGCTGACAGCTCTTTGAGGCGCGCGTGGAACAAAACGCGCCGTCGACACGGCCTGTCGTCGTTAGACGGACGGACGACGAGCTACCCATTGCTCGCCGTCCCCAGGCCTGCGCCTACGGTGGCTGGGGGCCACGACGTAGCCCCCGACGCCCGGGGCGTCTCCCGCGGCGGCCGGGGAGGAAAGCTGCTGCTCTTTCCTTCTCCCGCTCCGCCACCTCCTTCGCTAGCATCACTGCTTCGCAGAAGGTGGTGACGGCATCCCATTCCGTCTCGCTCCGGACCATGGCTTCGACCAGGGCCGGACGCGAGAGGTCGCCGCCGCCTATCGCCGCTACGAGGACACGGCGGTGCTCCGCCCAAGCAGGGCACACCTCCACGGTGTGTTCCACCGTGTCCTCCGGTCCATCCTCGCAGTGGAAGCACTCGGGCGTTTTCTCCCGCCCGATTCGGTGCAGGAACCTCCCGAACACACCGTGTCCGGTGAGGACCTGAGTCAGGCGGAAGGTGAGGATGCCGTGGCGTCTCTCAAGCCACTCCTCAAAGAGGGGTCTTATCGCCGCTATAGTGGCGTGCCCAGCACGGGGTTGCGACAGTCGCTCTCTCCATGTCGCCATGAGATCGTGCCAGAAGTCTGTCCGCTGCGCGACAACTTGCCGCGGCAGCGGGGTTTCCCCCCGGCATAGTGCCTCCGCGCGCCATTCGTGCAGGCGTGCGAGGACTACCGCCTCCAGATCCCATGGCGGCAATCCGGCAAGGAGGCTCGCCGCCTCGCGGGAGATCGTGCGGTAGCCGCGAACCATTTTCACGGCGACCACCCTTTGGGGCGCGTTCAGGTGGTGGACGGCAAGCCGCGCCAAACCACGCGCCCACACCGGGGCCCCGTAAAGGGGCGTTGTCACCCCTGAGGACTAAATAGAAATACCTCATTTACAGTAAAAAAGGGTCTCCGGATTTCTACACTCGCCATACGAATCAGCAGTATTAAGCACGAATTCTGTGAGTGTAATACGTACGTTTATGTACGTTTATTACGTATTTAAATATAATATAATTCTTTAGTAAGCTACATTTTTATTTGATTTTTAAAATGTAGTATAAGTGTTAATTTTATATTTTGCATATTAATTACATTTTA